GACCCTTAAGGTCAGAGGAGCCGTCACAGCAACCCCAAAGAAAAAGGTATTTGTGTCTCTTGTGTGGTTATTTCGTGCAGCCCAGTTAGCCCAGTTTAACTAGAGTGACCCCTGAGCCTTTTAGTCGCAAGAACAGAAACCCGGCACTTGTTTTACCTCCATGATGGAGTATCAGTCCAATCTGCCTTCAGTAGTTAGGATAATATACCCTAGCCAGCACAGTAACTCTCCTGTCTATTCTTCAGAGGCATAAAGCTCCAAGTGGCTAAATGGCAGTCTTAATTTCCAGTTCAGATGATAATTACCATGTTTCCTAGTAGAATCACTCCTTTTTTTGGAACTAAGACCTCTAGGCAARCAGAGAATAAGGTCACGGGCACAGGTGGCAAAACTTTTGCCCTTGGGTCACTAGGGGTCACTCCCATTTCTACCCCTTGGTTCCTGGTCCACTGCATCCTGTAGGAGAAGCAGTAAACGTGATCATGGCCTAGATTTGAATACTGGAAATGGGGACAAGAAAAAGTAGACAGAGGCAATGTCTAAGAACTAAAAGGGAGTATTTGAACAAGGGGATTGAAACAAAGGGAGGAATCAAAGATGGAAGCTCTCCCCTAATACAACACAATGTGATCTTGAGCTGGTCATTTAACCTTTTAATCATCTTTGCAGTTTGTTTCATTATAACTGATCCATCAACCTCAAAGGATTCTTGTTAGAATCAAATAAGACTGCATGTGAGGGGCTGGGGTTGTGGCTCAGCAGTAGAGCGCTAGCCTAGCCTGTAAGAGGCGCTGGGTTCCATCCTCAACATCACATAAAAATAAATAAAATAAAGGTATTGAGTCTGACTACAACTAAAAATATATTTTAAAAAAAAAAGACTGCATGTGAGGGTACTAGGAAAGATTCATAGTTAATCACATGGCTACTTGAACACAGAGGTAGCAATTTGCTGAGTACCTTCTGTATCTAGCACAATATAAAGCATGCAACGTAGTCAATCTCAATTTTCCAAGGTTACTTATACCTACTTTCATAGATTAGAAAATTAAGTTTTAGGGCTGGGGATATAGCTCAGTTGATAGAGTGCTTGCCTTGCATGCACAAGGCCCTGGGTTCAATCTCCAGCATCGAAAAAAACAAAACAGAAACATAGAAAATTAAGTTTTAAAATAAGTATGTTGGAAAAGAAATAGAATTCAGACTCAAACTGATCTTAGAATTCTTTTTACTATGTTACACTGTGTCATTAGGATTATTGCCTTAAATTTTTACTTTTCATTGAAATTATCCTGAATCAAATGTCTGAACACCTGCTGCCACTTCAATTTCTTCAGTCATGAACTGAATGGATCTGTTCCCATAAGGTAGTTTAAGGTTTAACTGAAAACTTCCAAAAGGCATTCTAAACATTTTTTGGGTGTGTGTGTGTGTGTGCGCGCGCGCGCGCACATAGGATAATCTGAATTGAGCCCAGGGGTGCTTTTTCCATGAGCTAAAGCCCCAGCCCTACCTCCTTTTTTTTTTTTGAGACAAAGTCTCACAGTGTTCAGGCTGGCTTAGAACTTGCAATCCTCCTGTCTCAGCCTTCCCATTTTCTAGAATTACAGTCTAAGCCACCACATCCAGTTTAAAATTCTCCGTTCTTTAAAAATGTCAGCACATGAGCTGAGGTTGTGGCTTAGTGGCAGTGAGCTTGCTTCAYACATGTGATGCACTGCGTTTGATCCTCAGCACCACTTAAAAATAAAACAAAGATATTGTGTCCACGTATAACTAAAAAAAATATATATTTTTTGAAAGTTAGCATACAAGAAACAGTCCTTATTACTGTATTTTGCACCACATAATGAAAAATAACCAATTAACCATAAACCTAATTTGATTCAAACTCTGACAACTAAGACTAGAATGATTAAAGCACATAATAAATGAACTTAAAATCTGAAACTCCAGAGAGCAGGTCTTTCCAACTCCCCTTTCTCTACCTGTTAGAAGTTGCCTGAAATTCCAGTCTTCACCTCTGCTCACGGGTTAAGTTTGTCTCCCTGTGCATCTTCACCAGCAGATGAAGAACTGTCTGCAGAACCAATCACTAGCCTCCTACTTTGCAGCATTATTTCTCAAAATTATATAGATGGCTTTCTTATTCTAATTTCACAAACCCACCTAAAAGCATCATATGCTGGCATACTCGCTGCAGCCTATATAACAGAGGACTGAGAACAACTTAAGTGTCAGCAAGAAGACTGGCTCATTATGTCATCTTGTCCCCCAACCCCACCCTGGTTTTGGGAATCCAACCCCGCCGCCGCGGGGAGAAGGAGCCCAGGTCGCGCAGAGGCCCAGCCACGCCCGTCCGCGCGCGGCACCTGCAGGCCCTGCCCGCCTACGTTCTCAGGTCTCGGGTCCGCCCAGGTGAACCCCGGCCCCCGCACTCCCTGAACCGCCACAGGCCCAGAGCACAGGCCCCGAGAAGTCCAGCTCCTCCCGAAAGCAACCGCGCGGGGCCAGGGCGCGAGGGCGGGTCCGCAGGCGCCTAGCGGCCACGACCAATGAACGCACGCCGACCGGCCTATGGACCAATGGCGGAGGCGCGTGGCACGCTGGGGCGGGACCACGGGGGGCAACGGCGGCGGTGCGTCCGCACGCTGGGGGCGGGTCCGGCGCACCCGACTTTTCCAGAAGCTGGTGAGAGCGCCGCCCGGCCACGCGCTGCCGGCTCAGGTTCCGTGCGCGCCCCCTCTTCTTTTCTCCGGACAGCTATGGCGGCCGTGAAGACTCTGAACCCGAAGGCCGAGGTGGCCCGCGCGCAGGCGGCGCTGGCGGTGAACATCAGCGCTGCCCGCGGGCTGCAGGACGTGCTGCGGACCAACCTGGGGCCCAAGGGCACCATGAAGATGTAAGGCGGGCGGGGTCGCGTTTCCGCCGGTGTGCGCTCGCTGTGCCGCCCCTCTCCGGCCTCCGCGGGCCTTGGAGGGGTGGGAAGGCGCCCCGGGCCCCGGGGGCTGGCACGGGAGGCCGGCTGGGTTCCTTGACAAGGCGCAAGCTGACTTGGCGTTTTTGCCCCCCCCCCCACAGGCTTGTGTCTGGCGCTGGGGACATCAAGCTCACCAAGGACGGCAACGTGCTACTGCACGAAATGGTGAGGTTCCCGTTCTGGTCAGGTCGTCGTCTGCCCCAGCTCGTTTGCCTTACAGGAGGGATGGGAGAAAATCGTGTCCGAGATTCCCCGCAGACGGGAGAGGACCAGGAGAGCGACATGGTCGGGACGGAGTGCCAGTGCTGTGCAGCCAGGGGCCGTGAGCCTGAATACCGGCTCTCCTGCCACTTGTTGTCTGGGTTAAAGGATTGTTTTAGTCCATTGTCATTTGAGAAATTAGGGGCGGTTGACACAACCAGCTGGGCAAAACAGCAACATTTTCTGTTTTCAATTAAAATCCCTTCGACTGGGGTCGTAGCTCACAAGACTGATTGCTTGCCTAGCATGTGCGAGGCTCTGGTTCCTTCCCCAACAGCATACAAAAAAAAACCAGGAATACCTTTGATACATCTCTCCACCTTAAGTCCCAGGGATCGGTGTTGTTGAAAGGCACKGTGGCACACACCTGTAATCCCACCAATTTGCAAGGCTGGGAAGCCAGCCTGGGCATTCTGGGGAGCCCCTGTCTCAAAATTCTTGCTCATATCTGTTCTTCCAAAACTTATCAGCTCATACACATTTCTTTCTCTTTTTTTATTTTATTTTATTTTATTTTTGTCGTTGATGGACCTTTATTTATTTATTTAGATGTGGTGCTAAGAATCAAACCCAGTGCCTCACACTTGCCAGGCAAGTGCTCTGCCACTGAGCCACAACCCCAGCGCCCCCCCCCATTTCTTTCCTCTAATTTAAGTTGAGAATAGAATTTGGGATTTTGATAGTAGTATCCATGGTATCAATATCCAGATGTTTTTTAATCACAGGATTATGAAATGTTTGTTTTTGCATGGCTAAATGGTAGCCTTTGCTAATGACAAACAAAGTTATAGTTTAAATTTGTTGTCAGAAAAGCCATATTTTTTACTTTAGTTTTGGTTGGTTTTTATTGTAAAATATGACAACTACAGAAAAGCATATTAAACATTTATTGTTTAATAATAATTAACAAACTGAACACAGGAAGAAACTAAGAAAGAAACTGCCACCTCAGAAGTCCCCTTTGCCCGCACCTCTTCAGTTGCCATAGATTTTTTTTCCTTGAAAAATTATAAATGAACAGAAAAGTTGAGAAAATGAAACATTCACATGCCCTTTAGTGGGTTTTTCTTTTTTACATTTTTGCTTAATTTTTCCCTCTTGATTGGAAGTGAATCACAGACATGGCATCTCATTTCTGAAATGTTCTTTATATCTGGGTGATGGGAATTGAGCCCATTGTCCATCCTAAGTGTGCACTCTCACATTGAGCTATACCTCCAGCCCTTAAAARTGCTCTTAATGGGTTCATCATCCTCCCAAAAATGGCCAAAATGTCATTATTGTACCTCTTAGCAGCTTTCCTTTTTCCTTTTTGTTTTCCCCCCTGGTAACGGGAATCACTTAACCACTGAGCCACATCTCAGCCCTTTTTAAATATTTTATTTAGAGCCAGGTTTTGTTAAGTTTATTAGGTCCTCTCTAAGTTACTGAGGCTGGCTTTGAACTCTTAATCCTGCCTCAGCTTTCCAAGCCACTAGGATTACAGGTGTGCGCCACCAGGCCTGGCACTGATGCAGCTTTACATATAGTCTGTGTGTGTTTCACATGTGTCTTTCCTGGATGGCTGCTGAAGTTCCCCAGGTGCAATGGAAAGATCTGTCTTTAATCTATTGCTGTGGGACTGACAGGTGAGCAGCATCACCTGCTAGCATCCCTGCCAGAGTGCTTAGCAGCCAGTTTAGGTGAAGTAGGAAGCAGTGTGCAAGATTGTATATGTGGACGTACTAGAGATTGAACTCAAGGGTGCTCTGCCACTGAGCTACATCCTATATTCTTTTTTTTTTTTTTTTTTTAAGGTGTAGTTGGACACAATGCCTTTATTTATTTATTTATTTATTTATTTATTTTTGTGGTGCTGAGGATCTAACCCAGAGCCTTGCACATGCTAGGCAAGCGCTCTGCACTGAGCCACAACCCCAGCCTCATGGCCTAGATTCTTAATCAGCCAGGCTCTGTGATCCCAGGAACTTGGGAGGCTGAGGTGGGAGGATTACAAGTTTAAGACCAGCCTGGGCAATTTAACAAGACCCTGTCTCAAAATAAGAAGGGCTGGGAGTGTAGGAGTGTAACTCAGTGGTGGAGCACCCGTGGATTCAATCCCCAGTGTCGCAAAAAAAAAAAAAAATGTATCCCCAAAGATAGAGAAGGCTGAGAGCTGTTCAAGGTTAAAGGAGCATAGAAAAACCAAAGGCGGTGCAGGAGATTTGGTTGAATCCTTTGTGATTAAGAATCTGGAGTGGCTTCAGAGGCATGGTGATTTTCCTGTTTTTACAGGAAAATTTTTCTTTCCCACAGTGACTCCTTGGAAGATCTTTGCTAATAGGGTCCCACTAAGTTACCACAGATGACCTTGAATTTAAAATCCTCCTGGCTCACTTGCCCAAATAGCTGGGATTGCCAGTGCGCACCTCCATATATTTTGATCATCATAGATTGATATGCAAAATAGCAATTTGCAAGTTTTTTGTTAAAGGAGTATTAGCCAAATATTTGGGCAATTAAGGTAGACAGCATTTAAAGAGATTCTCAACAGATTGGTTTCAAGGTATATTTATTTTAAGTAATGTAATTTAAGTAAATTTTTTTCCTTTTCAGCAAATTCAGCACCCAACAGCCTCCTTGATAGCAAAAGTAGCAACAGCCCAGGATGACATCACTGGGGATGGCACCACTTCCAATGTCCTTATCATTGGAGAGCTGCTCAAACAGGCAGACCTCTACATTTCTGAGGTACATAGAATTGTCTTGTCTCAATTGTGTGTAAGAAATGTGATGTTTGTAAATTGATGTGTTAACAGTAGCTGAGGCCACACAGCATGTAAAGAGCAGGAGGTATAAATCTGAGAACCTGGGTCTTTATCGTGGTGGAAATAGAAATGTYTGATGATGGATATGTTATGGAATCTTTGTTGGCCTGCAAGTTTTTTAATCAAGTTACGTTTCATTTTTTATTTCTATCTAGCTCTACAACAAATTAATAATATGAGATGTAGAGGTCTGAACTAGCCATAGTTACAAGGAAAAGGTCAGCTAAATGTTAGACATTTGAGTAAAAAGAATTCTACAACTTTTTGTGGGGTAGGGGTACTAGGGATTAAACTCGGGGACACCCAACCACTCAGGCACATCCCCAGCCTTGTTTTGTGTTTTATTGAGAGACAGGGTCTCACTGAGTTGCTTAGAACCTCGCTTTTGCTGAGGCTGGCTTTGAATTCAAGATCCTCCTGTCTTAGCCTCCCGAGCCGCTGGGATTACAGGTATGCACCTCCACGCCTCACCAAATTCTACAACTTTTTTTTTTTTAGCCCTGAATAGTTCCAAATTTAAAGCAAACCTCGGTGAGTAACTAATCCACTGTCAGAATTCCCTGTGAAGAGAGAGCGAGCAGATGTTTAGTCTATATTTATTTTGATTGCTAAAGATGTGAATTAATTTCAGATTGCTTGTAGAAAAGTTAAAATGTTCCTACTAGCTGGGTGTGGAGGTGTACAACTGGAATCCCAGCTACATGGGAAGCTGAGGCAGAAGGATTTCAAGTTTGAGGCCAGCATTGGCAATTTAGCAGGACCTTGTCTCAAAAATAAAATAGGACTAAGGATGTAGTTCAGTGGTAGAGCACTGCCTAGCATGCATGAGACCTTGGTTTAATCCCCAGTATGGGGGTGAGGGAGTTCCTACTAATAACAGATTTCTAGGGATCACTTTTAGGTTTTGATATTATCCCTGGTGATTTGCACAGCAAACACCCAAGTGTGCTTTATAGTTCACTTGGCTTTGACGCTGTGCTAGAGCAATGTCTGTTCTTTTCCTCTGCATTGAAAGGTATATTCTGTTCTTTCAAATGTATTCAGAAAGTCAGCACATCATGCTGCTTTGGTTATGTTAAAAGGCATGAGTGATCCCAAATCGCCCTTCAGAAATTATCTGAACTTCCATGAATAATTGCATCTAATGGAAGGTGCCAGGTTTAGTGGCAGTGTTTTGATTGTGTGTTTATTACAGGGTCTTCATCCTAGAATAATCACTGAAGGTTTCGAAGCTGCAAAGGAAAAGGCCCTTCAGTTTTTGGAACAAATCAAAGTAAGCAGAGAGATGGACAGGGAGACACTCATAGATGTGGCCAGAACGTCTCTCCGTACCAAAGTTCATGCTGAACTTGCAGACATCCTGACAGAGGTATGTGTTCAATTGGTGTGTGTGGTGTAGTAAACATGGAAAATACCTTAGAGCAGAAGCATCRGTGTTCTTAGCAATTCCAATTAGAAGGTACTGTCTGAAACCTTCAGTGTCCACCATTTGAAGTAAGTAGGTTCATTTCTGTCCAGGCAGTGATATTTAATCCAATTCCCTGATATATGAAGTGAGAAAATACAAAGAACAACTCACCTCACCAGGTTATAAAAATACAATTGGRACTTTCATTAAAATGCTAATAAAACAATTTTTTGAAAGGAATATAAAATGAAGGTTTAATTAGAAAGCTCCTAGTTAATCAGTAATTTAAATATGGTGCATATGTGATGGTTTAATACATGTGTCCAATGTATAACAATCAAATCAGGGTAATTAATTAGCATTTCTGCTTCCTTGGGTATTGACCTTTCCATGTTGGGAATCTTCTGACTCTTAGTTCTTCATGTAATTATAGTAAGCTATAGTTATTAGTATTTTCAGCAAAATAGGAGTGATTATTTAATATTTTAGAACTGTAAATGACTAGAGCCTTTTATTTCTACTGTAGTCTCATTACTCATAGGAAAAATCAGATTTTAAAGTAAAGAAACTCAAAACTTCTAAAGAAGAACTTCAGTATTTTAACATTTTATTTTATTTTTGGGGGGGTATTATTTTTTAGTTGTAGTTGGACATAATTTCCTTATTTTATTTATTTTTATGTGGTGCTGAGGATTGAACCCAGGGCCTCACAAATGCTAGGCGAGCACTCTACTGCTGAGCCACAACCCCAACCCCCAATGTTTTTAACTTTTGCAAATTGAATTTATATAACAGTTGTACTCCCATTGTAGGCTGTAGTGGACTCCATTTTGGCCATTAAAAAAAAAGATGAGCCTATTGACCTGTTCATGGTTGAAATCATGGAGATGAAACATAAATCTGAAACTGACACAAGGTAGGTGATAGAGTTCTGTTGAACCACTTCTGAGTGTCTGTTGGGGTTGAACCTTGTGCCTGTGAGCAGGGGCTCCACCCCTGAGCCAGTCTCCAGCCCTGAAATAATAATAAAGTGGATTTATAAGTTGGATGTTCACAAAAATAAATATTTATATGTTTGGGTAAACATAATTTATAAGGAATAAATTGCAGGGTAGTCCATTTGTTCCTAGTGATATTTCCTCTTGAAGACCGGGGAGGGTATGCTGTGTTTTTTAAAGACGGAGGTAATATTTATTTGAAGGAGGCAATCAAGAGTTTGATGTCTGCCATTTGAGAGTATCTGCAGAATTTTCCATTGATGATAGTGGTGTTACTCTTGTTGGAATAGCCTGTCTTGCGCTCTGTAATACTGCTTTTTCACAATTGACCATCCCTAGGTTTCACTAGAAACTTCAGATAATTCAAGAGAGAAAAYTAATGGTATAAAAATTGTCAGTATAATCTTTTGAGTGTTTCAGTTTTGTCAGTGAAAGACTCCTATTTTGGAAATCAGTAACTTTAGCCCACTGCCAGCACAGGCTTCATAAATGAAGGTTCAGCTATGTGAGAAATCCGAAGGGAGTTTGAATTAAAAAGACAGATTCTAATTACCTTTAAACCAGCTCCTGACGGCTTCTCCTACCTCYAGCTTCAAGCTACCTATTAGGGTAGCAAGGTTTACTGAAGAGGCCAGTGAGAGAGAGAGAACATGCCAGGGAGTGGACTTTATTGGGGAACAAAAAATTCTGGGGGAAAATCCCATCCAATGAAGTTTAAGGGGGGCAGTGTCCCAAAGTCATGGTGCGACAATTGGGTCTTTAGGGGTAGTGGCCAGACACACCTCCACACGGACAAGCCCTGAGAAGGTTGGGGAAAAGAAGGGTGGGGAAGGACCTGAGAAGGGTGGGGAAAGCTCTGGACACAAAGATGTGTCTAAGCGCCTCTCATCCAGCCAGGGAGGTATCTCAAATCATGTACGAGGATGGCCTCCCACAAGTAACAATATGAATTCTTGTCTTTTAACAGCTTAATCAGAGGGCTTGTTTTGGACCATGGGGCCCGCCACCCTGACATGAAGAAGAGAGTGGAAAACGCATACATTCTCACATGCAATGTGTCGCTGGAGTATGAAAAAACGTGAGTGGTCGCCCCTTTAAGGGGGAGTGGAGGAGATTGGTGTTTTGCAGCAAGTTCCTTTTGAAATTTGTTTTGTCCACTGTGAGGGCAGTAATAACTCATTTGGGTTTGGGAGGCCAGGAGCAGATGACTACTAACAATGTATAAGGGGCAGGATTGGGTCTCAGGGACTTTGTAAGCTTTAAGATGAATCAAGTTTCTCAGGCTGCTTTCTTTATGGTAAACATTTTTTCTCTTTTTCTAACAGAGAAGTGAATTCTGGCTTTTTTTACAAGAGTGCAGAAGAGAGAGAGAAACTAGTAAAAGCTGAAAGAAAATTTATTGAAGATAGAGTGAAAAAAATAGTAGAACTGAAAAAGAAAGTCTGTGGTGATTCAGATAAAGGTTTTGTTGTTATCAATCAGAAGGTGAGAATGAAAATTAGAGTTACAAAAGAAAAGTGTTGTTCTTTTCTACTCTTAAGGCAAGATATACTGAAACTGATTTTATTTTTATAGGGAATTGACCCCTTTTCTTTGGATGCTCTTGCAAAAGAAGGCATAGTAGCTCTGCGCAGAGCTAAACGGAGAAATATGGAAAGGTATGAGCAGATCATCTGAATAATGTAAATTTCACTAGTTGGCAAGTGAATTAGGATTTTTCCTTTCCTCCTTTATTTTTCACTTTTTTGTGGTATCATATAAATAACATCTCCCACTTTAAGGGCTCCAAGGAATGGCATTACTGCATTCACACTGTTGTGCAGCTGCCACCAGTGTGCATCTTGAAACTTTTGTCATCCAGATAGGTTACTCCCAATTCTCCCTCTCCTTACCTTGGTGAACACAGGTCTGAGTTCAGTGCCTCCTGTAAATGGAGTCATGGTGTTTGTCCTTTGTATCTGGCTTGTTTTATTTACTTGGCATAGTCTGCATGCTGTATCAGGCCAGAATCTCACTCTTTATTCCATTGTGTGTGCCATGTTTTATCTTTGATCTGTTGGTGGACATTTGGGTTGTAGCCACTTTTTGGCTATTGTGAATAATTCTGTGAGCATTGTTGAGAACAAGACACACCCTACCCCTGGTTTTTCTTGTGAAAAGGTTCCAGAGAGCTGGGTGTGATGGCACGCACCTGTAATCCCAGCGGCTCGGGAAGCTGAGGCACAAGGATTGCAAGTTCAAGACCACCCTAAGCAACTTACCTAGACCCTGTCTGAAAATAGAATTTTAAAAGGCTAGGATATGGCTCATTGGAGCACTTGGCTAGCACATGCAAGGCCCCAAATTCGATCCCTAATACCAGGGGTACAGGGTCATATTTGAAGCCTGTTTGCTGACTTTGGGGGAGGGTGGCTTTAACAGGTTAAAAGAAAAGATTCTTTTCAGCTGATTGTTGATGAATGGAAAGGCTTAGGTTGAAATATTTTTGAGAATGCAATTTTAGCCTGTAATTCTGGAGATTTCTTCCTGACAGTGGTTAGTCTTCTCTTTGAGCGTAACTGCTGATGCTGCTGACACGTTTCACACTTTACCCTTTCAGGCTGACTCTTGCTTGTGGTGGGGTGGCTCTGAATTCTCTTGATGACCTCAGTCCTGACTGCCTGGGCTATGCAGGACTTGTCTATGAGTATACCTTGGTAAGTGTGTTTTCCTCCCAAACCTGAATTCCTCAGTAGAAAAGTTTAAATTGAGGATCAGGTTTTTCTTTGTTTATATACGTTTTGTTGTTTGTTTTTTTCCATTGGCATGGAAAGAAATGACAATCTTTACTAAATTTGGCTTTAATATGGTCAGTATAATTAGTATGATTAATATGTTATTTATCCTCTCCATACACTCCTCTCCTGTTCACTCTTTGTATATATTCTGTTTTTTAAAATCTCTCTTACACACAGGGAGAAGAGAAGTTCACCTTTATTGAGAAATGTAACAATCCCCGTTCTGTCACATTATTAGTCAAAGGACCAAATAAGCACACACTCACTCAGATCAAAGATGCTATACGCGATGGCTTAAGGGCAGTCAAAAATGCACTCGATGATGGTAAGAGCTCATTGTGTTTAAATCTTGTTCTTTTTGCTAGTGTAAAAAGCATGGCTGAATACTGTGTATTTTAGTCAGTATTTTACACAGCCAGACACCATGCAAAAGTAAAGTCTTCCTTTTATAATAACTGTGGTATGCTAAGGTTTTTCATAGTGTGCCCCTATTAAAAGTGAATACAGACAAATGAACTAACACATGCTCACGAGAGTGCCAGCTCAATTGAACTATTGTGCTGTTAGGTTTGTCCCTTTGCATGTGGGTTGGGTGTGTCACTCAGTGGTGGAGAGCTTGTCTAGTAGCATGGGGCCCCAGTTCAATCCGAAGCTCTGCAGAGCAGACAARTGCAATGCTGTTGTTAAATTTTTAGTTATGAAAACGGCGGATTCCTAAGAAGTTAATTCATAAGTGGTTTTCTATATATATCTTGTTTCCTTGTCATTGGTTCATCATTTTTCTTGAGCTTATTATCATTTCTCCTCTTCTCCACACAACAGGCTGTGTGGTTCCAGGTGCTGGTGCAGTGGAGGTGGCCATGGCAGAAGCCCTGATTAAGTATAAGCCCAGTGTGAAAGGCAGGGCCCAACTTGGAGTCCAGGCGTTTGCTGATGCATTGCTCATTATTCCCAAGGTGTGAAAACTTGAACAGTTATTAAATATATCAAAACAATTAAACTGAGCAAACCTTTTTGATAATATAGGTTTTCTTCATAATGTGAATTTTGGGTGAGCAGGTTGAATCCTTTTCTACTTGACACTTATACTCCCATCATATCTATATACTTTTTTGGGGGAAGGGGTACAGGAGATTGAACCCAGGGATACTTAACCACTGAGCCTCATCCCCAGCCCTTTTTACTTTTTAAAAAATATTTTTTAGTTATAGGTAGATACAGTGTCTCTTATTTTTATGTGGTGCCTGAGTGCTCTCCCTCTGAGCCACAACACCAGCCCTTTTTTATTTTGAGACAAGGTCTTGACTAAATTGCTGAGGTTAGCCTTGAACTGTGATCATCCTGCCTCAGCCTTCTGAGCCCCTGCGATTATACTATCCACATCATCTCAAAGCCTTTTGTTCTGGGAGACTTGACTGTCCTTGAGGTTTTGGATGACAAGAGAACTGTTTTAAGAATATTTGCAGTAAAGGCATTATGCTTGAGTACAAGCTTGCTTTTTGTATTTTAAACTGATGTTAAAAGTTATAAAATAACTTTTTGTTATTTTAAACCACTGTTTTCTGTTTGTTTGGGGTTTTTTATGGTGCTTGGGATTGAACCCAGGGCCTTGTGCATGTAAGGCAAACACTCCACCATCTGAGCTATATCCCCAGCCCTCATTATGAGGTTTTGTGTTTTTACTTTTTGGATTGTAAATACTGTTCATTTGTTGTAGAACTTCTTAATTACTGCCTTTTCAAGAATTAAATTTGTTTACTTTAGGTTCTTGCTCAGAACTCTGGTTTTGACCTTCAAGAAACACTAGTTAAGATTCGAGCAGAACATTCAGAATCGGGTCAGCTTGTAGGCGTGGACCTGAACACAGGTAAGAGAAGGCCTCTCTGTAGGGCAAGAACAATACCAAGCATGTGAGGTCACTCTAGGAGGGTTGGAAAGAGTCTTGGCAAGCAGCTCTGCAACTTGATGCCAGTGCTGTCCAGAGCTCAGGGCTCTGCCGGGGTGGAAGCCTGAGTACAGATTTCTTGGAGATGTTGCTGAGTGGTGGTATGAAGCTTTGTTGATAATGAAGGGTTTTTGTATTAACCCAGTCTTTTAATCAGGAACTGATTAAAAGAMTATATTATGTGATCAGATTGACAAATGAAAATATAGTAAGTAACAGGGATGTCCAAGCATGTGGTAACCCATGAGATCACCCTGTCACTGGAAGGCATCTAAGCACAGGTTAGCCACTCATCAGAGGTATTGTGGAGGATTTTGTRTAGTTACAGAGGAGAGAATGAGTAATAAGCAAGTCAGCACCAAACGTTCTTTTATATTTTAAATGTTTTCAATGGCTTTATTCTGTTTTAGAATTGGCAACACTTCATAAAATAGTGCTCCCTATACCTTTAGACTGCGTCTGATATAATGATGTACTGTGTTTTAAGAGGACTTGGTTACCTTTCAGGTGAGCCAATGGTTGCAGCAGAAGTGGGCGTATGGGATAACTACTGTGTGAAGAAACAGCTTCTTCACTCCTGGTAAGTTTGGGGGAATAAAAATTAAAACATCTTTCAGAGCTAGGTATAGGGGCAAATGCCTGTAATCCCAGCAGCTGGGAAGCTGAGACAGGATTGCAAATTCAAAGCCAGCCTCAGCAAAAGCAAGGCACACTAAGCAGCTCATTGAGACTCTGTCTCTAAATAAAATACAAAAAAGGKCTGGGGGTGTGGCTCAGTGGTTGAGTGCCACCCCAAAAAAAAGCTTTCAAAGGGCTGAGGAGGATAGAATTTGGTGGTTGAGGGCTTGTCTAGCACATGTGAGGCCCTGGGTACAGTCCCCAGCACTGCATGGGCAGACAGGATTAAGACTTGACCAAGACACAAGCGTATTAGGTAGACACGCAGCTTGCTTGCCTTTGGGAATCAGCATACTCTTCATAGTGGTACCTTCTGAGTTTTGTTATCCTCTGAAGGATGTAATCTGCTGTAAGGTAGAGACTCAACCAGCCAGCCCTGAGTAGAAAGAGGACATCAGCTGGATGTGTTTTGTATAGTCTAGTTGGGAACAGCAGGTTGTCTAGTTGGGAACAGCAGGTTGAGTTAAGGATTCCTTTTTGAGCAATCTGTTTCCCTTTTAGCACTGTGATTGCCACCAACATTCTCCTGGTTGATGAGATCATGCGAGCTGGAATGTCCTCTCTAAAAGGTTGAATTTAAGCCACTCTTGTGTCATCTGAATCTTGAAGACTATGGAATGATCCTGAGGGATATAGTGGTGGATTTTTGTACCAGCCTCAAATGATTGTTAAAGGAATTTTCTTCTCCCCTATGAAAAAAAAAAAAAGATTGGTCACATATTYAAATTATGGTGTGAAATTATAATTACAGTATTTTTAAAATTGCACTGAGTGTACATGCATAAAGCAGGTCCTTTTTACCCAGTGAACAGGATGTTTTGTTTATTACAGTGACATAAAATTACATGTCAGATAAGCACGTCATCTGCCTTATTAAATATTCCTTGAAAAACATATTAAGGAGTTGATTATTTCTTTGGGTTTACTTTAATGAAACAGTTTCGTGTTAAACCTTCAAGTTTTATGCTAGTGTAAAGAACACTAGATGCTGCTGGGAACATAGCTCAGGGATATAGCACTTGGCTAGCACACCTGAGGCCCTGGCTTTGATTCCCAGTACCACCAAAAAAAGGAACATTAATACCTTTGGGTTTTGAAAGAATTTTTATTTTTGTGGTATAAATTTCAACTGGGTCAGTTGGACCTTTTACATGTTATTGAAGTAGCTTTCCTAAAATGCTCCCTCAGAACACTTACTTTGCCAGGTGTGGCCGACACCGGTAATTCCAACAACTGGTGCTGAGGCAAGAGGATCCCACGTTCAAGGCTGGCCTGTATGATTTGGCCCAGTGGTTGAACCCCCCAGGATTCAACTCCCAGGACCACCAAAAGAGGGGGAAAGTTACTTGGTAGTAGATAGGAAAGACCAGTGAGCTGCAGGCCAAGAAACAGCGCAAGTGTAAAGTGATAAAATGGACGGCTGGAAGACCGATGGAGGTGGTCGAGAGCAACTGGATGAGATGAAAATTTTTTTAGGCTGACAACTTAAAATGATTTTGCAAAATACTCAAGCCCCCTGTAGTCAGCTCGTGGTACTTTGGCTTCCTGGAATTGTTGGCGCCAGCGACAGTACCGCATTCTCCAAGGAGAAGCTGTGGCCCGCTTTGCGCACAGCTCTACAATGTCCCCGCGAGTGCCTGGCAGTGGTCTTGGCAATGGCGGAATGCAGACATCCTGTCGGAGGCCACGGCCTGCCCGGCGCCAGGCTGGGTCCGCGTTCTTGGTGCGAGGGCACTCGAGTCGTGCGCATGCGCGGGCGGCAGCCGGCGTGCGTGCGCGCGCGTGCGCAAAGGCCCCATGGAGTGCGCGCCCTACTCGCCCCGCGCGTCCTCAGCATGGGGCTCTTGGTGMCGGCGCTGTGGCTCCTGTCGTTGCCTCGGCTCGGGCTAGGTGGGTGTCGCGGCGCCGGGACGGGGGGGGGGGGGGATTCGCTGCTTCACCTTCCTGCGGGGCGCCTGCTGCGCACGAGGAGTCTCATCCCTCATGCCCGTGGCCCCGCTTAAGGGAGGGCGGGCGGTGCTGGTCCTGCCCCTTAGCGGCGCGCCCTCCGTGCGGGCCGTGCCCCCGGTTCTCAGGCCTCCGCGAGCCCAGCTCCCCCGCACTGCGCCGGCCTGCAGGCGAGACCGCCGGAACACGACCAGCTGGTGCTCTTCAGGGTCTCCATCTATCCAGAGGCACCTTTTAGCTCACAGGTGCTTTCCCAGTTAGCTCGTTTGCGGAGTTACGGYAGAATCGTTTATGGGCGCTGCAATTTTATGTTCTTCTTTAATTTTTAAATTAAATACTTTTTAAATTTGCGATTCCACTCCCTTTTTTCCTTGAAAAATATTTCTTGAGAAAATAAAGTGGATGAAGTCAGTGTGTCAGATGAGACAGAAGTGCCAGAAACTGGACTCTAGGGAAATGCACAGTGCTTGGATATCCTCCGTGGAAATCCTGAAGAATGTGTTCAGCCAGGAAGTGCTCCTCCTGGGAGCCGCACTGTGGAAGTGGAGACTGGACCCTGGATCTAGTCCTGTCTTTGCTGGCCAGCTACTCTCTCCCAGTCCCTGGCATGCTTACTCCGCTCACACTTGACCACTGCGCTACACCCTCAGCCATCAATCGGCTCATCAAGTCACCTCTTTTGGGGGTCTTGGTTTCCTCCTGTGAAGTTTTTTAAAAAATTTTTTTACAATACCTTTATTTTATTTATTTTTTATGTGGTGCTGATGATTGAACCCAGTGCCTCACACATGCTGGGTAAGCACTCTGCCACTGAGCCCCAGCCCCAGTTTCTGTGAAATAAGTTTAAGATCATTTTTATTATATGATTTTCTTCTGAGACAAACAGCACCTTTTTTTTAAAACTATTTTTTAGTTGTCAATGGAACTTTATTTATTTTTATGTCGTGCTGAGGATCAAACCCAGTGCCTCTCATCTACCACTGAGCCACAACCCTAGCCCCAAACAGCATGTTTTTAAAGGAGTTCATCCAATTTTTTTTATAATAATCATTTTACATTTGTGCTAACTGCTAGGGGTACACTAGCAAAATAGATGTCCTTTCCATTTCCTCCTGGAACAGATGATAACAGATGATGTGATAGTGAGGATACTGAGCATTCAAGCCTGTAGTCCAGCATTCAGGAGGTGGAGGTAGTGAGAGCACTAAAGCCCAAGAATTGGAGAACAGCGTGTGACATAATAACACTGTCTCAAAAAAAAAAAGATTGGTGGTGTTAAGTGGAGAGGAAGAAACAGCATGATCAGGGTGGAAAGTGCTGTTATATTTGAGGGTATAATTCCTGGATTTGCCTAGCTGTCTGGGGCAAAGGGTTGTGTGGAGAAATGAAGAGGTGACTGAGGACCTACCATGTGCTCAACATTCCACACATTATTTTATCTTSGGTTCCCCTCCCCTAGGTTTTTCCAGAGTCTAGGACCCCAACTCAGGGCTTTGTGTGTGCTAGGTGAGCTCTGCCACTGAGCTTCATTCCCAACCCCAACATTTGACACACTATTGTAACCCATATCCCTATTTTATAGATGAGGGAATTGAATCTCAGATTGAGTCATTTGCTTGAATTCTCCCAGCAAATTAAGTAGCAGAACAAGAATTTAAAGCCACATTTTTTTTTTTGAGAGAGAGAATTTTTAATATTTATTTTTTTAGTTATTGGCGGACACAACATCTTTGTTTGTATGTGGTGCTGAGGATCGAACCTGGGCCKCACGCATGCCAGGCGAGCGCACTACCGCTTGAGCCACATCCCCAGCCCCCTTAAAGCCACATTTTTAAAGCTCCTGGTTTACTTTTGCTGTGCCTAAGTAGTGCATGTGATCGAGGAGCCATTACCACTTGGCTGGTGAACACATTTGCATAATACATTGCAGGTAACTCCCCTCCTTGTCCACAGGAAATGCACAGGCAACGAGCATGGTCCAGCTGCCTGGTGGGAAGTTCATGATGGGAACAGATGCTCCTGATGGCAGAGATGGAGAAGGGCCGATCCATGAGGTGACAGTAAAACCCTTTGCCATCGACATATTTCCTGTCACCAATCAAGATTTCAGGTATATCAGTGTTTTCYGGGGGAAGTAAAGGCTCTTTCTAATCATTTGTCACATCTAAAAGGAACTAGCTTGTTCAGTGTCATATCATCKCTGCACTGGTACTGTGGGGCTTGCCATGCTTGTCTCACATGGAGAGCCTGAAGGACCAAGAGTCCTGACCCACTCTCTGCAGGAAGAACCGAATTTGGCACTCACATCCAACTGACCCAAGCCAGTACATTTTCCTCTGACAGCATAACTGAGAAATGCCAGCAAAGTCAAACACTCCAAGAACCCTCCTGTAGAGGTGGAGATGAGGGGTGGGAAGATCGGGAGAGGGGTCACACTAGCTAGAAGTCCCTTGAATTGCCTTTGTTTTTTTGGGGTTTTTTTGTTTTTTTTTTTTTGAGACAGAGAGAATTTTTTTTTAATATTCAGTTTTTAATCGGTGGACACAACATCTTTGTTTGTATGTGGTGCTAAGGATCGAACCTGGGCCGCACGCATGCCAGGTGAGTGCGCTACTGATTGAGCCATATCCCCAGCCCTGCCTTTGTATTTGTTGAAGGAATCAGCATTGTTTTAGGAGTCAAATATAATAGCTCCGGCCCAATCTAAGAAGCTATGATGAGTTGCCCTAGTTTCCCCAAAGCCATGTTTTGAGTAAGGTAAAAGAAATGATCCAAAAGATATTTGTAGATGGTGCAGGGGAAGATATATATATATATGAAATATTCAAAAAATATTTATAGCCAGGTACAGTGGCACACACCTGTAATCTAAGTGACTTGGGAGGCTGAGGCAGGAGAATCACAAGTTCCAGGCTAGCCTCAGCAACTTATCAAGACTCTGTCTCAAAATAAAACATGAAAAGGACTGGGGGTATTGCTCAGTGGTTAAGTACCCTTGGGTTCTATCCCCAATACTGAAAAAAGGAAAAGAAAAATTATATTCAAGAGAGAGGGAGCGGGGCTGGGGTTGTGGCTCAGCGGTAGAGTGCTCACCTCGCACATGCGAGACCCTGGGTTCGATCCTCAGCACCACATTAAAAAATAATAATAAGTGAAATAAAGGTGTGTGTCCAACTACAACTAAAAATATTATTTTTTTAAAAAAGGGAGGGAGGGAAGACAATAAAGTAAATATGGGAAATTTCTGGAATGTTATAATTGGTGGCTAAGTCTTTTTTAATCCAGTTGTTACTTTAAATGGGTCAGAATGTTGTCCCCTGGAAAGCAGGGACCTTGCCTGTCCTATTCCCCTGTGGCTTGCCCCTGAGGTCCTGTAGCAGGTTCAACACCTCCTTATCTCTCAAGATGTGTTTGTTGAATGATCAGCAAATCAATACTGAAAGTTTCTGGAGGGAGTTCTAAGTCTGAATGTTAGTATTGTTAGCAGTTGTAACTACAGGGACATGGAAATATGAATTAGGAAGAAATACTATTTGGTGACTTTCTAATCTGTATTTTCCAATTTTGTAATCCTGAGAAGTGTATCTCATATTTACAGGAACTGGGAAGTTTTCTTGGCAAACTGACTATAAAATACTGTTTGTTGCTGGTCCTTGCCAAAAGACTGGGTATGATGATGATACATGAAAAAATCACAGAAACATTCTGTAGCCTACTCCTTGCAATGCTATAAGGAATAACTCTGTACCAGCCCAAATCTCTGGAAATTTAACTACCAAACAGTGTCATTTCTCAAAGAATGTTTTCACAAGGAGATTCTCATACATCTTTTCTATATATGTTTGTTTGAAAGTTTGGAAAACAAAAACGTATCATTAATATGTGCGTGACTTCAGAATTAAACATAGGAAATGAAATTTAACATTATGCTCTTGAAAAATATGTCGTATTTGTAGACTTAAAACATGTTCAAAATAAAAATAACTTGCAGGAAAGCCAGGTATAGTGTATGTCTATAATCCCAGCTCCGTCAGAGGCTCAGGCAGTGGTTCAGAAGTTTGAGGCCAGCCTGAACAACTTAGTGAGACGCTGCCTGAGGGTTAAAAGGGCTAGAGAAGCAACTCAGAGGTAGACCTTGCCCAGCATGTTCAAGTCCCAGGGTTCACTTCCCAGGCCCAAGGAGGGGAAAAAACAAACCTTGCAGGGAAAAACTGATTCGGAAGCAAGAATTGGCATATTCCTCAGGCCCTTGGACTCAGTGATTCCACCTCTAGAGGTTTGTCCTAAAGAAAGAGTTAAGATTGTCCAAAAACACAAAGGTGACATTGTAGACTAATATTTAATAATTAACAATCACTCAAAGATAATGTATCAATGTGAGACTGCTCACCAGCCATTAGGTCCTATGGAGTTGGCCCAGCGCTGTGCAGTCCTCCCTGCAGTCTGCCTGCTAGAGTCCACAGACCATACCCAGCCATGGGAAAGCCACTCTGAGGACTTGGTGGGCTTCCTTCAGCCCAGTATCTTTTATATGTGTTAAATGCAAATTATATCCTGGTGATAGGGTGAATCTTTTGGAGCTCTTGAGACCCATGGGGTGTGACTGAGGTCAAGGACACAGGAGGTTTCCCAGAGTGAGTAGGAATGGGGCTCGGAACCCTGTTGGCAAGCGAAACTCTCTCTTCAGGGAGTTTGTCAGGGAGAAGAAGTATCGGACAGAGGCCGAGATGTTCGGGTGGAGCTTTGTCTTTGAGGACTTTGTCTCCAGTGAGCTAAGAAACAAAGCGACCCAGCAAATGGAGGTGAGAGTACCTGGCACGCAGCCAAGGGATGGAGTGGGGCCTGGTCAGCATGGCCTAGGCCATGGTGGGGGAGAAAGAGTCAGATGAGCAGTGCTCCTGAAGTTCACCCTGAGCTGGTTCTGGTGTAGTGAAGCTGAGAGAATCCAGGTAAAGACCGGGTGTTGGTGCCTCCTGAAGCTTCAGGAGAGCACCTTGAGGAACCTGCCTGCAGTGAGGCTGATCAAAGTCCAGCCACAACTCACCGGGACCCCATCTCAGTCGAGGCCTCTGCTCTGCTCCTGTGGCTATTGGAAGGTGCCTTTCCTGGGCAGAGCGTCTTCCACTGTGTGTCTTCTGTTTTGCAGCCTGTTCTCTGGTGGCTTCCAGTGGAAAAGGCATTTTGGAGGCAGGTAAGTGTTGATTCCTCATTTTCTACCCCTTCCCTTATTCTCGAAGCTGTCTTCCCTAGATCCCTCAGCCACCAGGCCAGGCACATCAAGTCCTAAAGGATGACAGGGAGTTCAGGGAAATAGCCAAGCAATCCCATTTCCTCTGCTCCACTCTTTTTCTGTTGCCCTCCTGTTTCTTCTTTAGTCTGCCTTCTAACTGGAAGTCCCTCACTCACCAAGCTGTTTCTCCCAACTTCCTTTCTCCATCTAGTGGTAAACACTTAACTCAGGCCCCCTAAGCCTAGCCTTCCTCAGACTTTCATGAGCTCCCAGAGCCTGTCTCACCTAATCCTGGCTGTCAGCCTGCAGGTCCTGGCTCTGGCATCCGAGAGAGACTGGAGCTCCCCGTGGTACATGTGAGCTGGAACGACGCCCGGGCCTACTGTGCCTGGCGGGGGAAGCGGCTGCCCACCGAGGAAGAGTGGGAGTTTGCTGCCCGAGGGGGCTTGAAGGGTACAGATGTCAAGACAACTTCTCTATTCTCCTCCACATTCCACCCTGCCTGGGGGACTTCTGAGGGTGGGAAGAGCTTGTGCTCCCTAGAGCAGTGCTTCTTAAACTCCCTGTGGGGAAGGGCCAGGGTTCCCTGTGWTGTTTCATTGCTAACCCACCTCAGACCAACACGCATGCGCAATGCCACGAAAAAATGAATGGTTGAAAACACTGAGTGAAAAGGAGACCTAATGTTTTTGTTGGAGATTCCATAGGTACAGGTTAGATTTCCATAGATCTAGTTAGAGCAGCACAGCTTAGGGAAAGCACAGTTTCCAAAGTAGCAGGGGTTGACATTAAAAAGCACCACTTGCTTATAGCTTTGTCTTGGTCAGTCTTGGCTGTGCAAAAGGTCACAATAATACAGAGCAGTTTCCCATGTTGAACACCTCCACACCTCTTCAGACGAATACCTGGGATATCAGTAGTTGAGGTGCTTAGTGTGGTGGACGAGGTTGCTTCTTGCTTGAAATCCAATGAACTAACCTCTCAATGTGCACTCTCTATTTCTATACTCATCTCCATGTGAACTGGCAACAAGGCTTCTAGGTTGACCTGATCACAGCACCTCAAGGGGTACTGCAGAGCCCTGGGGGTGGGGGTCAGGCCAGTGCCCCAGGCAGGGCTGGGTGGGGCAGAAGTAAGCCACCTCCTCTTCCTCACCTCCCAGCTCCCTCAGGTGCCCTCACTGTTTGATTTTGTTTTTCTTTCCCAATTCTTCCTCTCCTTTCTGGCCTGTGTCCTGGCCCTCCTCACAGGTCAGGTCTACCCATGGGGGAACCGGTTCCAGCCAAACCGTACCAACCTGTGGCAGGTAAGACCCACTTCCTCCTCAGCAGCACCAGTCTCCTCCTGCAGGAGATGGGCATCATGGGAGGGAATGTGGGGCTCAGAGGGCTTGTGTCCTGATGGAACTGAAAACTCTGCACTGGTAAGACAAAGACAAGAGGGTGTGGGGGAGACTTCACCACAAAGGGTGACGCTGGAGCTGGTCAGGTAGGAGGTTGCCGAGTGAAAAGTCCAGGCATTCCCAGCCAAGGGAGCACCAGGGCATGTTCAGAGGTGTGGCTGTTTCAGGAAGTAAGGGGCTACAGGAGATAGGAAAAGAGCAGGATGGGGAGCCAGCAGGGGTTTACTTGTTTGTTTCTGGGAACGAAACCCAGGAATCCAAGGCCTGGGCTTGCTGGGCACGCAGTGTATGGCTGCAGATGTGCGCTGGAGCATCATCATTCTGAGTCAGGAAGAAATGCACTGAGGCTGACTTGTGCAGGAGCAGGTGAGGTAGAACTGCAGATGTGACGGGATGTGTTGAGTCCCAGGCTATGGAAGTGGCCCAGGGATCATCAGTTCTCAAATTAAGTGGAAACAGGATCAAAAGAGGAAGCCAAATGGGAGAAGCATATGTGAGAAGGTGGATAGGGTTTGATAATTCATCAAATGTGGAAGGGTGGAGGAGGGTGGACTCTAGCCTGAGCCCAGGCTTGGGCCATATGGCTAAGGTGCTGCCTCATCTACACAGATAACCTGCACATCAGCAGTCAGGGGGGAGTCTATGGGCTCAGGGTCAGCCCAGGTCAGGTGYTCTTGTCAGTAAAGATTGAAAACAGGAGGGGAGCCCCTGTCTGGCTCCCAAGGCCCAGGTTTGTTCCCAGCAGGGAGTCATCAGGCATCTACCTTTTAGAGGATGGCTGGAGGCTCTAGAGTTGGGGGATTCCTCACCAGCCTGTTAGGAAAAGCATCAAAGAGGGCCTGCAGTTATAATGACCTATTTATGTTTTTTTTGTTTTTTTTTTTTTTTTTAAAGAGAGAGTGAGAGAGGAGAGTGAGAGAGAGAGAATTTTTAATATTTATTTTTTAGTTTTCAGTGGACACAGCATCTTTTATTTTATTTTTATGTGGTGCTGAGGATCAAACCCGGGCCGCACGCATGCCAGGCAAGCGCTACCACTTGAGCCACATCCCCAGCCCGCCTATTTATGTTTTTGTTGGTGTGTCTGTGTGGTGCTGGGGATGGATCCCAGAACCTTGCACATGCTAGGCAGGTGCTCTACCACTGAGCCACACCCCAGCCCTTGCTATTGTTTGAGATAGGGTCTCGCTAAGTTGCCCCAGCTGGCCTCCAACTTGTGATCCTCCTCCCCCAGCCTCCTGAGCTGGKGTTACAGATGTGTGCCACTGCACCTGGCCACTTTGCTGAGTTTTTAAGGGAGGCAACACGTGGCACTGAGGATAGTCACATTAAGGGAGAGAAGTGTAAGTGATGTAGTGCATGGTGGCGCTGAACAGATCACCAACCGTCACCCTCCTGGTGTGAGAGCTGCTTACAGGCAGTGGTGCCAACCACGCCCCAGGTTAAGGAAAGGTGACAGACCTCAACAAGTTATGACAGCAAGCATCAGTCATGTTTTTAAGGATTTTTCTTGTAAAGAGTAGGAGAGAGGAACAGTAGGGTGGGGTGGATGAGAGGGCATTAAGGTTGTTGTGGTAGAAGGGAGAAGGCTCAGGGGGGTACCCGTGGTCCTGCGAAGGCAGCAGGTGCAGGACCTGGAGGAGAGTGGGAAATGCCGCTCCCAGTAGCTCCACAGCGCGAGGGTATCAAGGCAAAGGGCAGGAGGTCTCTGAAAGCCAACAGTAGGAGGACAGGCTGGACGTGGACCACTGTGGGCACAGAAATGCACTCTTCCTGACCCAGCCTGAGGGGAGCCTTAGGTTATGGCCCCAGCCCCTTTCTGGGCCAGCTCTGCAGCAAGGGGACTGTGGATTTTTCCTCCAGGCAGGGTTTCCTGTCTTGGAATAGGCTGATAGACCCTTCAGGGTTAATTTCTCCCACCAGGGAACATTCCCCAAGGGTGACAGAGCTGAGGATGGCTTCCACGGAGTCTCGCCGGTGAATGCCTTTCCCCCACAGAATAGCTACGGTAGGCTCTCTCCCGAGTTGCTGATGGTCCTAATGCTGCCCGTTCTCCCCAGGCCGCAGACGGGTTGGGGGATCTCGTGCTTCCCAGCCTGGCTGATGCTCCTACTATGTTGCAGGGATCTATGACCTCATGGGCAATGTGTGGGAGTGGACCGCATCACCCTACCGGGCCACTGGCCAGGACATGCGTGTTCTCCGGGGTGCGTCCTGGATCGACACCATTGATGGTTCTGCCAACCACCGGGCCCGGGTCACCACTAGGTGAGAGCTTGGTCCTGTGGAACACGGCTCAGCAGCCAGGGCCCGGGGGTCTGTCCTGGCTGCAGGAGCCCAGGCGGCTGATGTGGGTGCTGCTTCTGGGCACCAGCCTCTGCTGGGGTTGTGGGCACAGAACAGGAACAAGCAAGAAGAGTTAGGGGCCTGGGGCAACTTGTAGCATTTCCTGCTAGCTCACCACCCCAGGGGGGACTGTGTGGCCCACTAACTATATGGGCATCCCTCTCATCCTCCCTAAGCAGGTGGGAGCAGGGGGATGGGGGTAGAGTGGCCACATCAGGTCATTGCCGGTAGACATGGAATTACTGACTCTCCAAGTAGATGGGCACATGAAAAATCATTTTTTATAATCCTTTGCTTTACAATCAAGAAAAAAAAGGCTCAGGAGGTCCTGGGGCCTCCTTATTTCACACAGATGTTTAGTGGTGGCACCTGGCTGGCAGAGTTCCTGAACCCCCTTCCAGGAMCCTCTTTCAGCATCTGCAGGTTTAATTTAGCTGATAACCTCTGCAGCTTCTTCCACTGGATTCCTTAAGGTCTTAGAGTCTGCTGTCTGTGGCCTCACGACATCAAGGCTACCGAGGTTTATTTGATGCTTTGAAATTTCTGGGTTTTCTTCGCCTTTCTCTTTTGAACAAAGTAGTGGAGAACCAGGAAGGCCTGGAGCAGGAATCTGGGTTTTCTGCTGACTGCCCCACCCGCCTCCTACCATACACATGGCCTTCCTGGCCTCTGATTCTGTATCTAGGAAATGCTGACATCCTGCCTTGCAGAGCAGGGGAAGTAGCATGTGAAGGAAAGCTGGGGAGGGTAACCTCCCCAGTGCCATTTCACTCCGTGCCTACAGGGTTTGGGGCTATGCTGTTCTAACCCCCCACAGTGGAGGTTGTTATAGTGATAGCCAAGCCCTGTCCTCCAGTGCCATCCCTCAGGGCCACTCCGCATACCCTACTCTGTCCCACACCCCTTGAGTGGTTCTCACCCAGGACTTGCCCTTATACCAGGTCTCTCCTGGCCACGCTGCTGCAGGCCTCAGACACACCAGCCTCAGCAAGCCTGGGGTGGGCAGGAAGGGTGGGATGGCCACCAGCCCCTCTCAACACAGGCTTCTCTCCCCTTCTCTGATGGCAGGATGGGCAACACTCCGGACTCTGCCTCAGACAACCTGGGCTTCCGCTGTGCTTCAGGAGCAGGCCGCCTGCCCGGGGAGCTGTGAGTTGCTGGCAGCATGGACAGGAGAAAAGTTCCCCTGAGACCCAGGTCATTCCCTGGCCATATTCCAAACGCAGCTGACCCTAAGCTCTTAAACTGCAGCTTCGGGGACACCCTCCCCTCCCTTCCCATCTTCCACAGCAGGCATTTCCCAAGGCAGGGTGGGCTCTCCCTCTGAGAACTGCCCCTGTCTCAGGGAAGGAGCCTGACTGCAGTGACTGGGAGCTGGGTGTCCCCTGGAGGCCAAGCATTGACCATACAGGGCCAGATAGGAAAACTGTTGGAACAGAGGGCTCCAAAGTGCAGTTCCCAAAACATTTGTAAATCTGTTACCTTCCCTTTCTCCCTGATTGAGAGATCTGACATTTCCTCAACACAAAATTTTCTAAGGCAGCTGTTTTCCCAGCAGATTTTTGTAGAAGGAAAATGCTTCCTTTATCTGCCTATAGTGTTTCTTGCTCCTTTCAAGGAACTATCTGTAAAAATGCAATGGGTTAGGCTGGGGATGTGACTCAGTGGTAGAGCACTTGCCTACCATGTGGGTTTGATTCTCAGCACCACATGTAAATAAATGAATAAAATAAAGGTCCATCAACATCTAAAAAAAATTTTTTTTAATGAAATGGGCTTCTCACACACACACACACACACACACACTCACACTCACACACTCACACTCAGAACCTACAGGCGCTCTACCACCGAGATACACCAGCCCTTTTTATTTTTTATTTTGAGACAGGATTTTGGTAAGTTACCCAGACTGGCCTTGAACTTTACAAGTGTGCTGCCATGCTGGGCCCAGTGTCAATCTTAAATAATTTACCAGGAAGCTGTGCATTGTGGCAGTCACAAAGCAAATAATCCAGAAGCTTTCCCTTCTGATGTTTTGTTGTTGTTGTTTTGTTTTTTGGTACCAGGGATTGTACTCAGAGGCCCTTGATCACTGAGCCATATCCCCTTTTTTGTATTTTATTTAGAGACAGGGTTTCATTGAGTTGTGTGAAGCCTTGCTTCTTGTTGAAGCTGGCTTTGAACTCATGATTCTCCTGCCTCAGCTTCCTGAGCTGCCTGCCACTGTGCTGGCTCCCTTCTGATGTTAATTGTATATCTTACTTGTATAGGAGCTTCTGATGCCTCTAAAAACATCCCTAGCAAAAAACCTGCTCCATGTCATCAGATGTCACCACATCAATAAATTTGCAATTGTGTATCTCAGATATTTCTCTTTTTTGGTACTGGGGATCGAACCCAGGGTTGCTTTACGCCTGCCTGAGCCCCATCCCCAGCTCTCTTTATTTATTTTGAGACAGGGGTCTTTCTATGTTTCCCAGGCTGGTCTTGACCTTGTCATCCTCCTGCCTCAACCTCCAGAGTTGCAGGCATCATGGTGTGCGCCACCACACCTGGCTGATCCTCACCCTGGCACCCCTAGGAAGGGTTTCAACTGTCAGTAACCCTGGCTCCCCATGGAAGGAAATTGGGATGGTGCAGGCTGGGCCTTGGAGAAGCAGGAGGACTCGTGATTGTTTCAGACCACACCTGTTCTACATTTATCTGTATGCGGTGCACACGCACACGCTGCTCGACTTGCRGAGGCCTTGCAGGGACAGCCGCCTGCATCCGAGGATTCAAGCCAGGCCCTGGTGCTCCTCGCACACAAGCCAATGCGGGGTCTCATGGCTGCCTGCCCCACCGTCCCTCAGTAGTCTTCCTCGGCCAGCGAGAGGAGCACGGCCTTGGGTGTGTTCTCGAAGAGCGCGGCCCTGTTCTGCTGCTGACCCTTCTTCACCCAGTGGCCATAGATGCGGAAAGCGTAGGCATCGATGAGGCGGCGCAGCGGCCTCAGCGCATACGGGTCGCGGATGACGATCTCCCGGGTTACCGGTTTCACGCGGCGGTACTGGTAGTAGATCCTCACTGCAGCCAGCACGGTTAGCGCGATGACCTGCGAAGGACCTGCTCTGAGAGCTCCCCTAGGGTAACCCCAGCCCTGCGCAGGTCCCCAGCCCACCAGCATGATCAGAGTGATCCTGCCGAGGGGCCACTCAGAGTGTCCCCAAGCAGCCCACTGGGCCCTGCGCAGTCCCCCACATCCCCAGCCTGCCAGCATTATCAGAGCGATCCTGCCTAGGGGCCACGCTGAGAGTGTCCCCCAAGCGGCCCACTGGGCCCTGCACAGTCCCGGCCCATAGAACCAGCCAGGTGCCATGCTCTTCTGCAGCCGGGAGTTGAGCTGGAACCCTCCCAGGTGAGGAGCAATGCACTGGACAGTGTGGATGTGAGAGCCCCTAGGTGTCTTGGGGCTAAGACCTCAGGAGCAGCAGCACCTGCCCTAGGGCCACAAGTCAAGGGAAGGACAATACCTTGAACTTGCCACGAGGGCTGAAGTGCCGCACCTCTTCCACCACGTACTGCTGGAAGAAAGGGTGTGCCAAGGCCTCCTCCGCAGTGCAGCGGTTCTGGGGCTGCACTACCAAGAAGCGGGATACCTGAGGGAACAGAAGAGAGGAGCTGAGCACCAAGGCGACCCCCCCAGCACATCAGAAGACCCCTCCCCAGGCCATGCTGGACGAGCCTGGAGTCCTGGCCTCTCACCAGGTCCTTCACGGTGTCTGAGTAATCATCCCATTCCGGGGAGCCAAACTGGTAGTTGCCACTCATGATCATCCTCAGCATCAGCATCTGCTTCCGGTGCCAGAAGGGTGGGGAGCCAGCCAGCAGGGTGTACATGATGACCCCTGTGCTCCACCTGGGTTGTGCAAGGGCAGCTTGTTATCCCTAGCAGATGGGCAGGTGAGTGCAGGAGGGCTGGCTGCCCCTCCTAGCAGCATCAGGGAAGGAGAGGGAGCATCTCTGTTCCAACCTAGTCCTGCCCATGGGTCCCTCCTCCCTCCCCACCTCCTGCACTCACATGTCCACCTCCTTCCCATAGCCTGGATGGTCATCGTTCATGGAGCACTCAATGATTTCGGGGGCCAAGTAACTGGGGGTCCCACAGACCTCTGCAGAAGAGTTACTGTCAGGACCAGCCAGCAGAGGGCACTTAGAAGAGGAAGGCCAAAGATATAGTGGAGATGTAAGGGAAGTGGGGCTGGGACTGGGGTTGGCCTAACACTGGCCAACTTCAGGGCTGAGGGCAGGGGCAGGGTTCACACAGACCCAAGGGCTGCCTTTTGGTTCCCTTTTACCCATCCCAGCCTGGAGCTTAGGCAGTGGCAACCTGGCTCAGCACAGTCCCGGAAGGAGGACTCAACCTGAAGAGGCACCTAGCCCTCCACTGGCAGGACTTTATTCTAGTGGAAAATGGCAGGGAGAAACCCAGGCTCTCTGGTCCTGGAGAACTGACCAGGACCAGAGAGTTCAGAGAGCCTGAGCCCCTGGCATGTCACCAGACCTCTCAGCTTCTCTCCCGGCTGCAGCTGACAGGAAAAGCCAAAGTCCGTGAGCTTGATATTCATGTTGTCATCCAAGAGAATGTTCTCAGGCTTCAGGTCCCGGTGTACGATGTTGAGCTTGTGCAAGGCACTGATCACTTCCAGCAGGGCTCTCATGATCTTTCTAGGGTGGGCACATATGTTGCTCCTTTCTTTTTCCTTTTTAAAGTTTTTAATTGGCTGTGTTTTTTCTTTTACTAGAGCATTATAGTTATACATAATAGTTGGGCTCATTTTGACAAAATGATACATGCATGGAATTTGACTCCATTTCAGTCCCCTTTACCCACCCTTCCCCCACCCTAGTCTCTGTCCTCTGTCCTCTGTTCTACATGTCTTCCTTTCACTCATGTATTTATGTTTGATTGGTGCTTTGTAGACMCACAAATCAAACACTCCATAAGACAGACCGCGTTCCACCCCATGTTATTCTACTCTGCAGGGTCAAGAAGTAGCAGGGAGAGCAAAGCTCACATACCAGCCACACTGCCAGCACAGGGAGGAGGGCTTGGGATAGGCTGGGAGGGTCCAGACCCAGCCAGGGAGGCAGGGCACCAAGACAGCAGTGCACACTCCCAGCTGAGACAGGGCACACCATGCCTCCTAGACCTCACACCTGTGCTGCTAGGACATTGGAAGGGCCTGGAAAGATGGGCAGACAGACCCTCACCTGGTTTCTTTCTCACTCAAGGTGACCTTCTCAGTGAGGTAGTCAAAGAGCTCCCCTCTCTTCATCCTGTGGGAACAGGTTCTAGTCATGCTTGTCCCAAGATCACCCCTCACCCTGCTCCCAGAGGGACAAGATGGGCTGCCACTCCTCCTGAAGGACCCAAGTCTGGGGAGAGGAACTGGGGGAGTGAGTACAGAATTTGGCAAGAATTGGAAGAAAAGAGGAGGCTGGAAAGGTGGGATGCACACCAGTGCCAGGGTCCCTGTCTATGGAAGTGCCATCATAGGCTGGGACCTGTCAGAACTCAGATCAAAGCTGGAGGTTGAAAGGCCTCCTGAGCCCAGGGTTCCAGGTGCAGATCAGAAGGACTCGAGTATCCGGAATTTTCCCAGGAGACAAATGGGAGGAATCAACACTGAATGTTGGGAAGGTTTGCCTGTTACAGGGTCAAGAACTGCCACTCAATCTCCTTACCTCTTGGGAGGATCTTGAAAGGGTCTCTGCTAGAATGATCTAGTTATGCCCTGAGGGCTCCTGAGGGCACCAGCAAAAATAGATTCCCCAAGCAGCCTCTTCAAAGGTTAAAGACATTTGAGCTACCCCCAAAGGTGGGACAGGATGGTGCAGGTGCTGCAGATTGGGGAGAGCGGCAGCTGGTCAAGTCTGGAGGGGTCTTCGGAGAGTCTGCAGAGACTAAGTAGGAAAAGGCTCATCCTGTCCCTCCTTCCCACCCCTCCAAGGGTCAAGGGATCCCCATGGGGAGGAGAGTGAATGGAGGAACAGATTTGTGGCCAGCATCACAGAGAGGAAGAAAACCTTCAGCTTGGTTGGCAGCTTGAGAAGGGAAAGGGTGTCTTTTTGAGATGACCTATAATTTACAAAGGTGAGCCTCGTTTTACACAGTACCTGTAATGTGTTCCTAAAAGGTAATGTGTGAATCCAGTCTTTATCCTCGTTTGTTTCCAGTGCTGGAGATTGAACCCAAGGCCTCCCACATGTTAGGCAGGCACTCTAATCACTGAGATACACCTCCAGCCCCAGTCTCTATCATTTTAGTTCATTTGAAAGATACTAGGAGAACTCACTATCAGCAGCAGCAGCAATGATTGGCCAGTGAACACTGGGGGCCATGCATGGCACCTCAGTGGACTCTACCTTCCCGGAGCTAACCATGTATTTATACTTACATGTGAGRCTAAATTGTTACTGTAAGTCAGTAAGCCTGGTGTGGTGACACACACCTGTAATCCCAGAGACTCAGGAGGCTGAGGCAAGAAGACTGAAAGTTTGAAGCCAGCCTAGGCAACTTAGTGAGGCCCAGCCTCAAAATACAAAATGAAAAGGGCTGGGAATGTAGCTCAGTGGTAAAGTGCCCCTGGTCCATTCCCAGCACCACAAATTTAATTAATTAATTAAAAATTTAAAAAAATAATACTGAACATAATATAGCTACAATGCGAAATATTTCAGCAATACATAACTTACTTGAATAATTTCTCAAGTAACCCCTGTCCCTAAAACTATTGCATATGGAGAAATCATACTTGTTTTTGCAGAGGTTGACATTCTCAGTAAAAAGGCAGTGGAGGGGAACAAGGAGCAGAGCATTCCCTTCCCTGGGAAGCTTTAATAACAAAGACGATGACAAGTTTGAACACAGTTCATAGAGTACTTTGTGTTGCTCACACTTGACACTCAGTGACAAGGARCTCAAGCAAAGGGGTGATCTTGATACTAATGGTATTGACCTTTGAACCACATCTTGGATGCAGCCTCTGCCCTCCACACTGCTGACCCACATCCTGCCACTGGGATCCTCATCAGAAACCAACAGTTCCATGGTGGAGCACCTGCCCAGGTGCACCAGGCCCTCTGGGGAGAGTCAGGGTTAGGGTTATCATGGCTATAGTGCCTGCAGCACCTGCTCCTTGGTTCCAGCCTCACATCCTGCTGCTCTGCACAAGCTCACTCCCCCTACTCGGGGGCCTTGCAGATCCCGGCCATGGGGCCCACGAGCCAGCTCTTCCCTTGGCTGCAGACCTGCTTGGGGCCTTTGCTCTGGTCCTTCCATGCCTTCCCCCTACACCTCTACTCAAGTCACCTCCTGGAGACTCTGCCTGAAGTTCTGGTCCCCCTAACCCTTTGCTGTGCCTTATGGGCATGTACATGTACTCGACTACAAGTCAGAACCTGGTCTGGCCCTTCCATTGCCATGTCCTCCATGTCTAGAATAAATATGGAGTGGCCCCAGCACAACTGTCACTGCAGTTAATAATCAGTATCACTTACGTTGTGCCAAGCACGGTGCCAATATTGCTCCCATAAGACAGATAAGAAGACCAATACTGAGAAAAACCACCTGGCCCATATGTGGTGGACCCAGGTTTCAAAGCCTGGCAGCCTGGGCAGGAGTCAGAGTGGAGGTTCTCCAGCAGGCCCCGGTGTGGCTGGCTACAGGATTGGGTACTTACAGGTCAAACACCAGGAAGAAGAAGGTATTGGTCTCATAAGTGTCCTTCAGTTGTACTGAAATGGAAACATCTAGCTGGTTTCAAGTAGCAGGGGGCAGGGTACAGGGGCACGGGGGATGAAAGCTGGGGTAACGTGGAGGGAGCAGGCTGGTGGTCAGAGGAAGTCAACCTGGACGTGGGCAGGCCCGGGACTTGACACTCCACCTTCCCACCCCTACCCACTCCAGCCCTGCCTGTGACCCTGGTGTCGGCAGCGAAGGGCTGGTTGGTGACTCCAAGCCATGGGGCCCTGAGGCTGCAGACCCTCAGTCTGGGCAGCCACTCAGTGGGTCACATGGCCCTTCCTGGGCTCTCAGAGCAGGATCCTGGCAGAGTATCTGCTGTGGCCTGGGGCCATCACTCACTGATGTTCGGGTGTCCAGAGACTTTGCGCAGGATGTCCACCTCCTTCAGTGTGGCCTCTCGCAGCTCCTGCACTTCCTGGGGGCTGAAGCTGCCTCCACCGGTGATATCGATGATCTTCACAGCGTACTCCTGACATGTGGGCTTGTGGATGCAGCGCCTGACCACACTGCTGACTCCCCTAGCGTGCAGAGCACAGGTGACAAAAGGGACCCTATCCCAAGGGARTCCCAGGTCCAGGCCGGGACCAGGATGTTCTGCCCTTGTAATTCACACTTTCCCCAAATCCCTGTGAGTTTTGGGGGGAGATGGGGTGAAGAAATAAAGGCAGAGGGGTGATTTTCCTAGAGCTGGGCATAGCAAGGCAGGCTCAGTGCTCCTCCTCAGCAGGTAGAGAGAAGGGGTACCCTCCCCGGGCCACAGCCTTCCCTAGGATTCCTGACYCTAACCCCCAGCCCAAGGCCAGGTTTGGATGTGCTGAACAACAGCACCTGGGAATCTTTTGCGGGAAACATCTCTGATCTCATTCCTCTTTCCTGTCCTGGATTCAGGAGGGCAGGCCCCTAAGCTGAAGGATTCTCCAAGGGTTCAGTGCTTAGGGGATGGACACGGGTCAGTGTTCAGGGTTAGCAGAGATGGCACAGCCCACAGGGCCTGCTGGAGCCCAGACGCACTCCTCAGGACAGTGTGGCTCCTACCTGCCCAGAATCTCCTTGGGCTCATAGTTCTCGTAGAAGCCCTGTGTGGAATGAGTGTCTGGCAGCCCCTCATCCCGAGTCATAGTAGCTCCTCAGGGTGAGTCCCAGGGTCCCTAAAGGAGAACAGAAAGAAGCCATCAGCCTCCTGACATTGGTGGTGTGCTCCTGAGAGCTGGAACTGTTTCTCATTCACCCTTTTCTTTTTTTTTTTCTTTTTTTTTTTTTGGTACTGGGGATTGAACCCAGGCTTGCTTCACCACTGATCCATGTCCCCAGCCCTTTTTCAAGGATTTTTCAATTTTGAGATAGGATCTCACTAAGGCCCTAGGGCCTTGCTAAGTTGCTGAGTCTCGCCTTCAACTTGCAATCCTCCTGCCTCAACCTCCTGAGTCTCTGGGATTACAGGTGTTGATCACCGTGCCCAGCTCTCATTCATCGTTATACCTTCTGGCACAGGACAGGCCTATAATGAATGTTCAAAATAAATATTAGTGAAAAAATCCAGCTGCCTCTGACTGCCCAGCCCCTTCTGGTCCCCCAGTGATGACCACCTTTCCTCCCTGTGACTTCTCTTCCTCTCTGCTGGGAGCTTTGGAAAGAGCCCAGCTTGCTTCTTCCCACTAGCTAATGCTCCTGTGATCCTCAGGACACTTGAGGCTCTTTATGGTCACAGATGGGGTTAGCAAATTGTTGGCCAAGCCCAGGCTTAGCCCTGGGGCAAGAGATCAGGTTAGCTCTAGAGAGGCCAGCACATCCTTGTTTTTAGAAAGAGCCAAGCTAAACCACAGAGGGCAAATTAATGTGCAATTTACTTTGCCTTTGAAGGAGACTAGACCAGTCCTGTTTTTCTTCTGCAACTGTGGAAGAGGCAAGAACCCTGACTTGGTGCTTGCATTCTGATCCTTGTTCATCATGCCTCCTTTCCTTTCAGGAAGCCCTTCTCGTTGCTCCTCTCTTGCTTTGCCCACAGCCAGGGCTTCTGTAATCCCTCCCTCATCCACTCATCCCATCTTTCATTTTGTAGAACATAATGCCTATGCTTGGCCAAGCACAGAGCCAGGTGCTCTAAGGGATGCAGAGCTGGGTGGCAAGTCCCGGCCCAGCCTCTGGAACAATCTGCCAGTGTGTGCTGTCATCTCCGTTGGACTGTGACCTCCCCTAGGATGCATCCATCACCTCTGCCCTCTGTGCTCGGGTGTGGGAGATACTGCTCCTAAAATGGGAGTCCATGGCTGGGTAGGGAAGCCTGTGGTCCAGGGTCCTACCTAACAATGGGGAGGACTGTTGAGCCGGTGTGGCTCTTCTGCAGTGTGGGGCAGTATAGTCAGGAAAGTCGAGCCTGTACCTAGGGAGCCGAGAAGGCCCACTTGACCAGGGAACTGGGCTCCTACCTCAGGTGCAGGCTTTGACAGGTGCAGACAACAGGAAGAGGGGAAGATAGAGAATGGGCACAAGCTGCCTCTGACCCCACATCTATCACACCCTGGTCTCTCAGGGAGGCTGATTTGCTGACCAGCCAACCAGCAGCCCTGGCTGCCTTAGGACCCAGGCTGACCATTCCAGAAGGCCTGGTGTCCCTGCTACTGGGTGCCTGGTTACCAGAGGGAGGCTTAGAATAACAACAGTCTCCTTGCCAGGAGCAAGGGCTGGACTGCACAAAGGTCTCCTCTGCCCCGTCAGCAACCAACAGAGCCCGGGAGAGTATGTTCCCCCAAACAAGCCCCTTTTCTGGCAAGTCCTTCCAAGTTCCCAAGATGGGCATTCCTGCATCTCGAAACTGAGCAGCACCAGGCTCCTCCCTTCCCCAGGCCTCCATGGGCAGAGGGTATATCTGGACCCATGCCAGGAGGCCATTCCCTGACAACCAAGTGGGCCAGGTCCTGCTGCGCTCACCTTTTCTGGTGTGTGTGTTGTGTGTGTCCCTCTGCTCGGAGGCCTGAGCAGAGCCAACTTTGTGTTCCTATCCACTGCCCATCAGCCTTTCACATCTTTCCCAAGCCCCTTTGGAGAAGATTCCCAAATAGGAGTGGGTGGTCGGGTCTTTTAGGAACATAAMAGCCTTCCCCCAAAGCTAGAGTTGRAAAGCAGTCATCAGGGCCACTGTGTACAGAGACTCCCCGGCAGTGTTTCAGGAATCGGTGTGGCCACACTCCCAGGCCTATCTGCATTTGGAAGGGAAGAAAAATGGGCCTAATGGGCCCAGGAGCTCTGATTTCTCTACCTGCAGCCTCCCTCTCCCACCTGTTGCTTGGCCACTCACCTGTTAGTCTTGGCAGGCCCTTGAGTGAATGTGAGAAGAATCCCAAAGGTCCCAGAGCCCCTGGAGGAGAAGRGATAACAGAAGGCTGAAGCTGTGTCCTGAGCAGACACTTGTGGCCGGAGTAAGATATCCTGTGCTTTTCTTTGGGGTTTTGCTAACTGATGACGGAAAGCTTAAGTGCCAAAAATAAATCACAACTGCAAGCCTGGGATGCAGGCCAGGCTCAGCAGGGCTAGGCCCAGGGCCAAATCCTGCCAGGGGCAACCCCTGGTGGAGGGCAAGGGAGGTGCAGGTGGCCCAGGACCATGGGACAGCGAGGCAAGGCCTTCCTTCTGGAGCTCACCTGGCTTCCAGGCCCAGAGGAGGCAAAGCCAGAATTGTCAGGAACATGCACATTTCTCTGGGAGTGATTCCCCTGAATGTCAAGAACAGCTTGGTACACAGGTGTGGCAGCTGTCACAAGGCAGACA